CCAGGATTTGGTTGCACCAGTTGTTTGAAAGTTAGTATAGCTAGTAAAGACTTTAATAATGCAGCAATCTGTTGCTAGGATACCTCAATCAATTGTGTAAACAGTTTAGTCATTTATTTAAGAGGTACATTGCATATTAATTATACAGTGGGTATAGAAAAAAACCACCCCCTTTAAAATAATCACATTTGCTTTTCAGTCTAAAATGAAGACAGATACCGTTTTGTTTTATCCAGCTGTATTTACTTAGTGCAACTTATAACATCCAAGTGAAAGATATAACAGCAACATGTCAGAGAAAAAAAAAATCAAAAACAGATTAACTGAATTGGAAAAATCATCACCCCCTTGTGTCAGTATTTTGTTGAACCACCTTTTGCTTTAATTACAGCCTTTAGTCTGTTGGGATATGTCTCTACTAACTTTTCACATCTAGACTTTGTATATTATTGGATATTTACCCACTCTTCTTCGCAGAACTGCTCAAGTTCAGTTAAGTTTGATGGCAACCGTTTGTGGACTGCAGTCTTCAAGTCATTCCACAGATTTTCAAACTTACAGACCAAGCAACTCAAGCATTGCTGTGTATCTGAGAGTTAAATCACTGTGTCATGAATGCTGCCTGCCTTTGGCTCTCTCCTATGGTTCAGTGCTGCAGGAATGTTCCCTCTTGTGTGAGGAATGCAGCAAGCAGAGGCTATAGCATGGTGTCTGTCTCAAACACTTCTTTTATTCCTCTGTCAGCGTTGGCCTACATGCGTCAAAAGTCTTAAACTGAGTGTCACTCTGTGGGCTGCATTGTGCATCTCCTAGAAAAAAAAAGTCTTTCAGTGTCTCCCACTCCTCTTTCCTATTTGGTCATCATGACATTTGTATCATAGACTCACTCACTGTTGTGCTGTTGTCCAGTCAAATCTTAATGGTGATGTCATGGCTTTTCTCACTGTTTAGACATGAAAAGATAAAGATGTTATTTATTTTGTGGCAGGTTTGTTTGCTTCTTTGTGTATAATTTCCTTTGTATTCACTGTATACAACTATTTACAGTATTCTCTCAACTAATATGTTCTTGGATAGCACTGTAGCTTTCTTTTCCAGTTCTTCACGGATGTTTTCTATGTATGTGACCTTAAGAAAGAAGACGAAGAGTGCGAAACGCTATATCTGCCTGCTGTAGTACAGACTGTTGCTTCTATTAGTTTGGATGAGATGCCTTTTCTGTTCCACCTATTCAATAAATACGACATGGCAGAGACATAAAAATTCACACACATAAAGAGTGTGCGGGAATATTATCGATTTTGCTTGGTGGGATTCAGGTGACAAGAGAAAGGCGGCAAGATCAAGTACTGAGATAGAAAACAAACAGGGTTTAATGCTGATGAGTACCTGTGTTACTGAAGCGTCCTTCAGCAAGTGAAGAATTGCCAGTCTGCTCCAATTCAATGCTGAATTTTACATTAACAGGACTTTACCAGCAATTTAAAACAATAAAAAAAAATACAATTTCTTCTTTGAATTGCTGTACTACCCAACAAAATTATGACTTTGACAAAAAAAATAAAGGTTACAAAGTGTCAAAAGTGTCCCACCAATGTCACGTATCTGTTTAGTATCTTGCTGTGATATGTCACTTGACAAATAACCTTAAGGATAATAATAATAATAATAATAATAATCTTTATTTGTACCGCACTTTCCAGCTCAAGAGCACAAAGTGCTACAACAATAAAAACATAGTAATACAATATCATTTAAGAACACTCATAAACAGACAGAAGCGAAATAGATATCCAGCGTCTGATATAGGCCAACTCCTACCCAGCCAGCTCTCCCACCGGGGGCTTAACCGTGGTGGCCCAGAGGAGCAATACACACACTAATATATTAAAACTAGTTAAGAAATAAATTATTAATAATATAATATTTACAGTAGTTTTCTTCTCTGATGTGAAAAGCATCCAAGCTCTAGGTTTTTATATGTATGTGTATGTATATACGTATATATATTTTCTCCTCGCTGTTTGTTTCATTATTAATGAGAGAGAGTGAGGGAACAGCACCATGTATCATATTCAGACAGAGAAGCAAAGGCCCACAAGGAGCACATCACGCTACAGGAAGCACTGCAAACAAAGAGAAACGGGCCTGTCAGAGGTTTCCATAAATGCCAGGATTCAGTTTGACTTTGTGAAAAATCCTTTCAGACAGGCCAAAGAGCGTTACTGGTGTAGCTCCACCTTCTTCCAGTCTGCACAGTCATCCTGTAGGCCTACTGTCATTGCATCCTTGTGGTTTGTGATGATGCATGCTGGCATGTGGTCACCATTTTCAAAACTATTAACCTTTTGATCAACGTGAGCCCTCCCCAGGAACTGTGTGCGTGTGCACGTGCATAATGTGTTTGTTGCTTGGTTGTTGTTCTTTGAAAACTGGTTGCTTCAATGTCCTGTTAAGTTTCGATTGCAGTTATTTCATTTTGAGGAAGCATTACATATGATCAGTTATAGTGTTTACACTTTTATGCTTCATTGCCTCCTCCCTCCCAAGTGTGCTGTGGTTGTACGTATACTTCACTCAGCAGCGGAGTGATTTGCAGTGCTGTGCTTCTGCTCCCCTCTTACTGAAGGGAACATGGTGGGAGATAATGACACAGATCCTCTACCAGGTCCAGGCTCTCTAATTACACCTACTCTTCTGGGGAGCTTTCATTCTATATTAACCTTTAACTCCTCTCGTCAGGATTAATGCCTTTTTTTAATCATATACTTGTTGAAAATTTGGTATGTGTAGCTGTATATTTGTGTTTGCTTATAAATCACTTGAATACCTTGGTAAATGGGAGAGCAATCAGTTGGTAAGCTGGCCTGTACAGTGGCCTACTTACCTGATTTTATTTTTGTCTCAACAGATTGTCAGTATGTTGTTCTATTACAGTATGCTTCTTGGCATCATATTTTATTTGCATAAGATTAGGGTTTGTATCTCCAAAGCAGAAGGTGACTACCTACCTTCACTGTCAGGTGCATATGGTTCGAGTGGGTGAAACTATGATGACCTAAAATGCTCCACCTGTTTATGACTAAAGTGCTGTAGTAGCGCAGTGTTGTTGTAACCTGGAGATTTGCTGAACACAAAATGTAATGCATGTGATGACTTGTCCACCACAGTTAGAAAACCACTAGCTATCAAGCTCATTTTCTGGAGACTGCAGCTGTCCATGGATGATGCTGTGTTTCACTCATGCAGACCTCTAAACAGTGCACATTGCACTTCCCCTAAATAGAGCAGATAAAGAGTGATGTTCATCACTCTGTCTATTATTACCAGATTTCTTCATTTATAATTTACTTATGAGATCAACACACAGGGTTTGGACACTAGAAAGTTTAATCCTACCTCTCACAGCTTAGTAAGATGTGAGGTTGTCTGTCAGTCATCCCTTGATAACAAAAAGAACAAAGCATGGTGTCTCCTGACTTCCATGTTATCCTGGCTTTGGTCTGGTTTGTACTGTGTTTTAGGCCAAACACAAGTCTTGTTTGACTTGAAATTCAGTAGTTTACTCTGTAAATATTGTGATGTTTTGAGTCAGATGATTTCACAGCTGTTGGAGCTCTTGGTATTTGTGTTCAGTTGGTATAAGACACTCAACCTTTTTGTACTGGAGGCCTCTGCTGTGATGGGAGTAATTCTGATGAAGCAAAGATATCCATCCATCCATCCATTTTCTTCCGCTTATCTGGG